AGCCGGGAGAGGCCATCAGCACAAGTTCCAATTCCTAAATACTTGTTCTTGAAAATGTCTTTCTCAATTAGGTCTCACCCAAATAATTTGACTCGGGCTGAATGAATTCCAGCCCTCATGCTCCAGAACAACATGTTTCAACTGCATAATTACTGCAGCTAGCTTTATTTGTTATTAAAAAAAAAAGAAAGAAAGAAAGCAAGAGAAATAAACATGGATTGCTGTTCCTTCTCGACTGTAAAATAATCAATAAATAGAATCCAGATGAAAAATACCAGCATTTAGGGAGAACAATTCTGCTATATGATTCTTTTCTTTAGGGCCCTAATTAACACGCATGGTAGATGGACCTCATCGGTGTGTGGAACAGGCTCCCCCTCCTGCTGAGATTCTGCTCCAAGTCAGACAGACAGACAGACAGACAGACAGACAGACGATGTCAACAAACAGAACATGTACTGCAGATGCCTCAAAGCATTGCTCTGTTCCCACAAGCTGTTTCTTGTTTTCTTTTCCTCCTTTCTTTCTTTCTCTCTTCTTTCTTTCTTTCTTTCTTTCTTTCTTTCTTTCTTTTTCTCCCCCCTTTGTTCCCTAAGAACACCTTGCATGACAACTGTCAAAGCATAGCTAGTATCTTGCTCTCTCCTGTCTTTCCTTCCTCCCTTCCTTCTTTTTCCTTCCTTCTTTTTCCTTCCTTCGTTTTCCTTCCTTCTTCCTTCCTTCTCTTCTTCTCACCCTCCCTCTCTTCCTTGATGTGGAGACAGGGTCTCGCTCAGCTCAGGTTCTCCTAGAACTTGTGGCTTAGTGGAGGATGACCTTGAACTCCCTGGTGTGCTGAAATTAGAGGCCTGTGCCACCACACCCGGGTTGTTCAGTGCTAGGTTTGAACAAGCTACACCAGGCAGTCTGCCATCCGACCCACCTCCCCAACCCACTGCCTTCCCTTTAAATGAAGAAGACACACCTTTCTGGACAATAGCTACCCTGACCATGCAAGTTTCATGAGGGGCTCGGGGAGTGGATGGCACCTTCTCAATTATAACACCACTCTAATAAACCCCCACAGAGCCACAGGGCACAGAGTCTACAGCCAACACAAGACACCTATTTATTCCCTAATTACATGACAATATATTCTCTGTGTGTGTGCTGATGAAGATAAAATATTCTTTTAATTCTACGGCCACCTGGGGGTTGGGGGGGGATGGGACCGCCTATAAGCTCGTCCTGGGAGTCCCTGGTGCTAAATCACAGCCTTGTCCCAGCCTCCACTCCAGTAGAGTCTCCAAGAAAATCAGTTCATTTTCTCCATTGCCCACACCTAAAGTGTGGTTCTCACAGTGAGGGCATCAGCATGGTGGAGAGCTGGAGAGAAAGGACAATTAGTAAGGCCACCCCAGGCCCACCGGACCCTACAGCTGAGAGTGGGCCCAAGGAGCTGTCTTGCTATATAAAGCCCTTCCCCTGCAGAAGTTTGGCCCCTTCAGACTCACAGACAGAAGGGCTCCAGTTCTTATTGTGTATTTATTCCATGTGTGTGCGTGTGTGCATATGCACGTGCAGGTGCGTGAATGCATGCGGGGAGGGCTGGGGTCAACCTCAGGTGTCATCAAGAGCTGTCACCTTGGTTTTGAAGCCGGGCCTCTCACTGGGACCTGGGACTCATTCATTAGGCTAGACTGTCTGTCTGTCTAGTGAGTCCCAGGGATCCTCCCCAGCCCTGGGATTACAAAGGGCACACCACTGTATGCAGCCTTTTGGGAGGGTTCCGGGACTTGAACTCAGGTCCTCATGACTGCACAGCTATCCCAATCTACAGACTCGAGGTTCCACTTACTGGTCTGGATAGTGGGGCTCCAGAGCTTACCAAGCAACCATGGGTACTGGAGTTTCAGAGGTACACAGTCACCTGGCAGCGGTCTCTATGGAGACCTAGCAAGATCACGGTTGCCAACATGCATCAGCTCCCTCCTGCCATGCTCTGACCAGCAGAAACTCTTCAGGGCTGCTCTCCAGTGCCACATATAAATAAGGTCAGCAATACAGCTGGCCTGGGTCACCCCTGGCAACCAGCTGACACTCCAAACTTCAGAGCCAACTGTTTCAGATCTTGTCACCACTTAAGGTGAGGCTGGGGTCATTTGTTACATTGTCAATCTTTCTTCAGAGGTCTGTATGCACCTCTTCCTTGCATCTAGACTGTAAGCATAGGAGGGTAGGACCTAGGGTGTCAGCTGGGGACCATCCTTGCATAAGTCCCTGGGTCCAAGGAGTTGCTGCAGAGCTAAGGGTTGACCAGATGTCCCTAGGAGGGGAAATGCCCAGTTCATACAAAGCCCAGAGTAGCCAAGCACCTAGATTCTATTACACTTGTTTGTTTATGTATTTAGGGAGGGAGGGTGCACACCACCGCAAGCACGTGAAGGCAGGAGGACGAATTTTGTGGGAATCTGCTCTCTCCTTCCACGTGAGTCTCCAGCATTGAACTCAAGTTGTCAGGCTTGGCTGCAAGCACCCTTACCCAGCTGGACCATCTCATCTGCCAGCACCCACTTTCTAAAAGCGAAGGTAGGCAGGAGCAAAGGGATGCATGAAGCCTCGGTGAGACCTAGGCGGCGTGGGGAAAAGAAGCAAGAGAAAACGGTAACCGCTTCCGCAGCTTCTCCCTGGCCCTCGGGTCACTGCCTTCAGAGACAACTGCTGGCCTTCCCCTTCCACAGAGGTTACGGACCTGTAGGCCAAGTGCTGAGCCTGAGTTCTCCTCGGCCCACCCACGGTTCCACTGCCTGGGGTTAGCGGTAAAACCTTGGTTTGGGAAACCCTTCTCCTCCCGCGGCAATGTACGAGGCTCACTCTAGATCCTGCGGGAATGGTTTCAGCTGAGAATGTCTGCCGAACTCGGGGCTACACGGCAACCCCTGTCGTGCCCTTCACCTGTGCCTCACGCCACCGTAGAGGTAGGTCCCTGGTACCTAAAAGCATACACAGTGCAAACACAAACTTGGCATACAATAGTCACGGCTCCTCTTGGGAGACGCCGGTTACCTTGTCCTGCCTCTAACCTTCGAACCTCCTGGTCCTCCAGCCTTTTCATCCTTCAGTGGCCTAACTGGGAGTACCTGCCTCACGCTAAGAATGTGGAAGTCAGCGGAGGGTGGGGAGGGGGAGTGGGGGGGAGTCAGGAAGGGTGCTGAGCCTTTAGACAGGAAGACTGGATTACTTTCCCTTAGCCAGCTCTAAGCGAGTCCCTGCACTTCTTTGGGCTTCAGTAGGCTGATCCCTGGAATGGGAGGAAAGAGAAGGACTGCAGTTATAGGCTTCAGTTTTCTAGGGGCTTAAACAATGTATTAGCAACAGCAAGAGCCCGGTGCTTGGTGCACGCCACAGTAAAATCCGCCAAAGGAACAGAAGTGCCACATCCTAGGAGGTTAATGTCAATGCTCTGAGGCATTGGATCCAACCTTCAGGGCAGGGGCGATGGCCGGTAGGTGATCCTCTCTGCAAAGACCCCCAGCTTTTTTTTTTTTTTTTTTTTTTTTTGCTACTTCTAAACCTCACAAAAGATCTTTTCGGCTTGCAGTCCAACAAAGACCGAAAGCTGGAAAGCGATGAGGGTCGGAGAATCCCAGCCTCTCGACTCTGGGAGCCAAAACGCCATCCGGAGCAGGCTCGGACGGTCCCGGCCGCCTGCCGCGCGCCACCACCTGGTCAGGACATTAACCCCAGTTTCTCCCAGGAGAGTGATGGGCGCGGATGCGCTGGGCACAAGTATCCTTGCCACAGAGAGCTGGGAAGGCGAGGAGCCCTAACCTCCAGGTAAGCATCCTCCAACCTGCGGGAGGCCCTGCTTTATAGGCTCCCGGAGGGACCAGGCGTGGGAGAATCTGATCCCAGTCACTTGGACCGGTTTTTCTCGAGAGCACCGCCAGCCCGGAAGGAGGCCGGCTGGCCTCGCAGCAGGCACTCACAGGGACGGATTCTGAGACGCGACGACAGTGGGATGGAGCGTGGGAGTCAGTTCCAGGAAAAACCAGCTGGGGTTCGAAGGCTCTGGGACCCGCCAGGCGGAGACCCAGCACTTCCAGACTACAGACCGATGGTGACTCCGCCCCACTCGCGACCTTGATCCCGGGAAGGAACGGTTTTACCTATTTTAAGTCTTTTTTCCCCCATAAAAATTAAAAAACTAAATCAAGTCTTAGAGGAAAGTGTCTGCGTAGGGTTGCCACCAGGACCACTGTGTCCCCACCTACAACACCATCGCCTGCGATTGGGAGAGAAGTTAAGAACTTCGGGACAGCCACCCACGAGCGCAGGAGGAGGGACTCGCTTCTCTTTTAACTTTGGGTGTTGGGGTCTCCGCCGAGGGTCGGAGGCATGTCGTCAGGGACGACCCGCAGGACTGCAAAGCGTCCAGGATTCCCTCGGTGAAAGTGGGTAGACAGGATCAAGAAAATAAGAGAGTGAGTCCATGTTGCGCGTGGCACCGGCTGGGCTTGGGCTCCGCGGGGACCTGCGCGCGGCCCCGCTGCTCTGCGTCGGGACCCGGGTGGGAAGGACGCGGCGCCTGGCGAAGGTCCCGCACATCTAGAATGGCTTTGGGCCGAGAGACCCCAGATTCGTGCAGAGCTGGCAGGTTCCTTCTTCCGGACACCCGCACCGCTACTCTTGGGTCTTCCCCCCGCACGTGGAGGCGCGGCGGCCGCTGCGTCCTGACTGCGGCCGGAGGACGCGCGCCTGGCCCAGCCGAGGCTCTCTGCGTCTCCCATAGACCCCCCGGGCGCCCCCGCAAGCCCAGCCATCCACCTTCTGCCCCCTCGCCAAACTCGCCTTCCAGAGCCCGGACCTGGCCAGGGCAGTCTGGGGACCCACGGAGCCGGTGGAAAGTTAGTCGCGGCGCTGCAAAGCCCCCTCCCCTGGACTGGAACCCACACCCCGGCCCAATGCACCCACAGTGCTCCGAGGCTCTGGGTCCCCGCGGACCCCACCCAGCCATCTACCTGCTTCCACGGCGCGCCCAGGGCTTGGGCCAGCCAGTCGTGCGGTCCTATCCCCCAGAGCCGGAGCGGCTTCAGGTCCCCAGGCAGGAGCGGGAGCTGCTAACCGCCCCGAGCGGGGCAGAGCCGGGCAGCCGGCTCCGGGCACTGAGAACGAGTGAGCAAGCAGGAGGCTGGAGCCGCTGCGACTGCTGCCACGGCAGCCCCCACCCCCTGCGTCCCTCGGCCCCTCCCTCTTCCCTCCTCCCTCCGCTCTCCCTCTCCCTCCCACCTCCTTTCAGACCCTGCGATCGCGCGCGTTCCCTCGCTCTTTTTCCTGGCTTTCTCTCTGCCGGTTGCCTTCCTTAATTCCTTCTGTTCTGTTCTCACTTCTCTACTCTGCATCCACCCGTTTTCGCTCTTTTACCGTTTTTCCCGGCTCTCTCTTTTCTGTATCTCTTCCTTTTAACCCCTCGCGTCTCCTCTTTCTCTTCCCTTCTCCCCTTTTTTTCTTCCGACCGACCGATCAGTGATCAGCGTGGCCTCTGCACCTGTTCTTTGTAGAAGCTGTAGCTGGGGAAGCCAGCCCAGGATGGAAGAGGACGAGGAATGTTTCCCAAACTGAGCCTTTAACAAGCTGAGGACAGATACCCAGGGAAAGCCAGAAAGGCAAATAATTCAATGTGCAGAACTAGCTGCTCTGAGCTGCACCAGGTAAAGTGCAGACATCCAGGCCTCAGAGCTAGAACTTGCTATGGTGTGGTCAACTTCAAAGGCTGGGCTTAGACCAGACTTCTTGCAGACTTCAAGGTCTTCAAACACGGGATGCGATGGGGGGTGGGGGGCAGAGGAGAGTGCATGTTAATGAGAGGGTGTCAGGGGCCTGGCACTACACCCAGAGCCACCTGGAAGACTTCAGTCCGATGTTATACCTTAGACTACGCCACACGTAGTGCTTGTAGTGAGTCCTGGCGGTGGGAACACCTGGCCTTTGAGAGTGTCACAGGAAATCCCTACTCCTCTCCAAGATGCGAGGGGCTCACTCCTGCTTCCCTGTTTGCCAGAAGTGGGAACGATGAGGTGTTTCCTTCCCTTGAAGTGAGCAGTTCCACGCTTGGGAAAGGTGGCCTGCTCCTGGAGGGAGAATTTCGCCACTAAAGCAGACAGATTGTCTGTGGCTTTGGAACAAGCCGCTCTGCCCGGGCTCCCATGCAGCCTGAGGAACAAGCTTTTCCCCCAGGAGTATCTCCTGTCATCTGCCCATTGCAGCCCAATGGGGTTCTGAGAAAAGAGAAGAAGCCCCCTTTCCCATTGGCTCACAACAGGCAGCCCTGCTCTGGAAGCACCAGACCGGGTTTCTACCAGGCCAGGTTTATCCAATAACTGCGAGTGTCCCTGCAGGAACGGTATGAGCAGAGATCTTTCTACATTGGGGTTTCAGGTCCCCAAACTCCATCCCAACCAACTCAGCAGTTTCTTACCTTGGAATGTCAGATTAAAAGGGCAACAGATGCCAGGGCCTCTCTGTTCACAACACAGAAGTAAAGCTTGAGGAGGAGTCTCACACCTTCCAGGGTGAGTCCCTCCTTAAATTCTGCACCCTGGGAGCTTCCTGCCCCACCCACTTCTCTGATGATCTAGGCCCTTCTTTGGGGGACCAATCGTCTAGTAGATACATGAAGTTCCCCATCTTGGCAGTGAGGAGACCGAATTTGACATTGAAAAAGTCCCCAACTCCATATCCCTAAGGGATGTGAGTCTCACACTGGGAGGCCAGCTCCACTCACCGTGACAGTGGAAAGATCACTTAGTCCCTCTAGCCTCAGTTTCTCTGCTTGTAAAACGGGAATGCTAACCACACCACAAAGCCCTCTGAGGATTAAACCAAAGCCCATTTCCTGGAACAGTGAATGATATTAGCTTAATTAAAATTAAACTAGGTTTGCACAGCTTCCTCTGCACAATGACTCTTGGGTTCTGAGCTCCACCTTTGCCTCTCACTCTGACTTCTGCGTGGTAGCTACCCGTGTCTAAGTGGGTTCATGGACTCATGGAGCCGGGTGGGTCTTTCTGGATAACCATCATACTCAAGAACAACACAAAGCAGGCTGTCCTGCCCCTCTTGGTTGGTTCTTGGCTGCACTCACATACTGCCAGGCAGGAATCATGTGTCTAAGGATTGCTGAGGGACAGGGGGGTGGGGTGCCTGGTTTTCTGGCATACTCTAAAAAGCTGCACGGATCTATAAAGCTGGGCTTTCCCTGCCCAGATGGCAGGCCTCCAAGAACACATGTCACAACAGAGCCAGAAGCACTTTTAGCAAACATCTCTAGGAGTCAGCTCGGGGTCGGCCGGAACCCACAATCCATCATTCACTTGCCAGGAGAGCCTGCTTACAGGAGGCACTGTAGTGCTTGGCCTGGCCCTACCTCTACAAGTTTATTTGAGAAGTTGTAACGTCTAAGACAACGCTACTCACCAAAGGGTCGACTCTAAAACAAAGTCCAGTTGCCACCGAAAAGCTTACACTCAGCTGAATGTGATGGTGATGAGCCATGCCAGGCTGCCCTCGAACTTCTTATGTAACTAAGGATGGCCTTGAACTTCTGATCCTTTTGCCTCTACCTCCCAGGTGCTAGGATTCCAGGTGTATGACAGCATGCCAGGTTTTACACAGTGCTGGGAATCAAACCCAGGACTTAATGAATGTTAGGCAATACCCCCAGTAGACACATGCACACAATAGCTATATTCTACCTCAAGAAGAAGAGAAAGGGGTACCAGGAGCTGACTGAGGGACCCAGAATCTGATACCCCAACTCAAGTCTTTGTGCTGTCATGGGTCCTCGGTGGGAACAAGGATGCACCCTTCTGCCTGAACAGGGTGAGAAGGGCAGAACTCTTCTGGACAAACTGGGATGACTCCTCCTTCCTGGAAATAAATCCCAGAGACAGGGGTGCCCAGGGCTAAGAAAAGGGGTACTGTCCCCTTTCTTAGCTGAGATGGCCCCTCATGCCTTCCCTTTCCTGGGTCTCCTCATCTTTCCTACAAAGACCCTCTCAAAACCCCAGAAGGGAACCCACTCAGGACACATAGGACTGGCTGGGTAAAGGAAAGACCAGAATTTGGGAGGTTTTTGAACTCTTCAGAGGGAATGGAACATGACAGTGTGGAGAAGGATATCTGTCTCCTCCCCTGACTCTAGAGTGTTTGGGGCTGTTCCATGTTTTACCCTCCTCAGATCCATCACAAAGCCTATCCTAGGGTCTGGCCTCATCACAAGAATAAGATATTTTACAATATGTTGAGCCAGTGACATGGCTCAAGATGCATGCTGCCATTCCTGGCACCCCAAGTTGTATCCCTGGGACCCACGTGGTAGAAGGAGAGAAGCAGCTCCCGGAATTTGTGCTTTGGCGTCCACATCTGTGCAGTGATATAGATACACATACACTGAATAAAAATATAATTTTTAAGAAAGTCTGAGGTGCTTATAACATTAATAAAATACACATATAAGGTCACAACAATCCTGTACAAAAGCATTACCATTTCCCCTTTAAAAAAGGGAGACAGAAGCTACACAAGCCATAAGTTACCCAAAGCCACAAAACCAGTGGCAGACCCAAAATGGAGCTCAACCTTGTCCTAAGTCTTTTTTCAATGCTACAGTGCCTTCTTGCACTCCAGGGTGGGGACCAGGGTGAACCCAGCAAAGAGACAAGGGTCGAACCTAAGAAGGTGTTCAGCTCTGGGAGCTGACTTCATTTACATAACCCTGAGAAATAGTCACCTGTGGAAGCCACCATGGGTTATAGGGAACCACAGGACCTCTAGTGTCCTAGTCACTGGTGAGGTTCAGAGAGGAAACCGGTAAAGGAGCAGACTCTAAGGTAACTCATCAGTGTTACATCTGTTCACACGACACATGAGGTCACATGCATCCCAGACTCATACCAAACAGTAACTCAACAACCCAAAATGCTCACACACACACGTCATGTGATTGATTTTCATACCCGCTAAGAAGAAACAGTGAAGGGACCAGTGAGATGCCTCAATAGATCAAGGTGTTTGTGGCCTACTCCGACAACCCGGGTTCAATCCCTGGGTTGCCTTCCACACAGGTGGTATGATATGCCCTCTGCCGTTGCACAAATACACCCAAAACAAGTAAAAATAATTAACGCTTCAGAAAAAGAAAGAGAGCCAGGCAGTGGTGGCGCACGCCTTTAATCCCTTCACTTGGGAGGCAGAGGCAGGCGGACTTCTGAGTTCAAGGTCTACAGAGTGAGTTCCAGGACAGCCAGGGCTACACAGAGAAACCATGTCTCGAAAAACCAAAAAAAAGAAAAAGAAAAAGAAAGAAAGGAAGAAAGAAGAAAGGAAGAAAGGAAGAAAGGAAGAAAGGAAGAAAGGAAGAAAGGAAGAAAGAAAGAAAGAAAGAAAGAAAGAAAGAAAGAAAGAAAGAAGCTTTACTGAGGTTTAAGGCCAGCCTGGTCTATATAGTGAGTTCCCAGCCATTCCTGACTATGTAGAAAGAAGAAAAAAAGAAAGAGAGAAGTGAAAGATTAGAATGCAGCCCATTGGGAGTGACTTTATACAAGTGGTTCTCAACCTGTGGGTCCTGACCCCTCTGGGTTTGACCTTTTCAGGGAGGTTGCCTTAATCCATGAGAAAACAGACATTTACATTACGATTCGATTCGTAACAGTAGCAAATTTAGTTATGAAGTAGCAACAAAAACACGGTTTAATGGTTGAGGGTCATCACACCATGAAGAACTGTACTGAAGGGTCGCGACATTAGGAAGGTGGAGAACCACTGCTTTGTGAGCTTTCGTGAATCCGCCACCAATTGAAGGCTTGATTAACTTGCTTGTTTTTATTAAATGGTGTTCAATATTTAATAACTTTGAATATGGATTGAATACTTAATAAGATTGGTGGAGAGTATTTGTGCCAGTCATTTTGAATTGTGACTCATCTCAGAAACCAGCCATGAATATCTCTTCACACTGGCCTAAGTTTCTTAAAACTATAGGTTATTGAGAAGCTTTACGGAGGTTTAAAGCCAGCCTGGTCTATATAGTGAGTTCTCAGCTATCCCTGACTACGTAGCAAGACTCTATCTCAAATAAGCAAACAAACAAACAAAAAAGTCTGTGAGTAAATAAATCAGTAGCCAGGCATAATGGTGCATGTCTGTAATCCCGGCATTCTGAAAGCAGAGGC